TAAGATGATAAATTTTATGTTATGGTTTTTACCAAAATTAAACTTTTTTTTTTTTTAAGAAAAAGTTAATTCTTACCTTGAAAGTCATAAAGAAACAGGCAGTGGGTCTTGCAGACTGCAGTTTGCCAACCTCTGGCCCATGGATGGCCAGTCTGAGGGCAAAAACGATGGTCCAAATCAGTGCTTCTCAAAGGTCCCCATTGATGGACCTCTAACAATGTAAAAAGGAGAAGGCAGACTCTCAATGGGTCTGCCTGCAAGTCTACAGTTATTTTAAATATTCATTCAAATGTAGTTTGTGAAAAATTTGAATCCTGGTCCATAGCACATGTTGTTTTAATGTAAAATTGGCATTCAATGTAAAATTCAGTAAAAACTGATGTTCATGCAGGCTCAGAGAGGGTGAGTGACTTAGTCAAGGTCACAGGGCTGGAACAAGTTCAGTATGGGACTGGATCCCCAAATTCCTGATTCCCTTTGTCTACTTGCCCCCTGTGTGGATTACCTTTTCATCAGGCTTTGGCTGTCTATTTCCGATTCCCACCCACATCCCCGCCAATACTGAGGTAGTCTCCAAAGTAGCGAAGCAAACCACTTTTAAGTTTCTACCAAAATTCACCGATTCATAAGTTTAATACCATCAATTCATATGTTTCATATATTATTTGTTCTGCTATGTTCTAGAATATTTTAGTTTGATATATTCTAAAACTCACTTTTTCTTGTCCTATCTAATTATACTTCCTCATCCATCTGTATTTTTTAAAATTGTTCACAGCATCCCATTCTGTTACACATTGTGCAATGTTAAATTATAAGGGAACCAAGAGATTTGCTGTTTTTGTATACCCAGCATCCATTTTCTCTTATGGTAGATTATTTGTTCAGATTTCTCTCATCTTTCCTCTTTGTCCTTCTCCCTGTCCCATTGACTTTTTTTTTTTTTAATTCATCTCACTGTGCCAGGTCTTAGTTGTGGCACATAGAATCTTTCAATTACAGCATGCAGACTCAATTGTGGCATCTCAGATCTAGTTCCCCGCCCAGGGATTGAACCCAGGCTCCCTGCATTGGGAGCACAGAGTCTTAGCCACTGGACCATCAGGGAAGTCTTCCTGTTGACTTTAATTTTTAAAAAGCACTTTATAATTTTATTTATTTATTTACTTTTGGCTGTGCTGAGTCTTGGTGGCTGCGTGGGCTTTTCTTTAGTTGTGGCAAGTGGGAGCTGCTCTCTAGTTGCAGTGAGCTGGCTTCTCATCATGGAGGCTTCTCTTGTTGCAGAGCACAGGCTGTAGGGCACATGGGCTTCAGCAGATGGGGTCCCTGGGCTCTAGAGCTCAGGCTCAATAGTTGTGGTTCATGGGGTTTGTTGCTCCATGGCATGTGGGCTCTTCCAGGATCGGGGATTGAACCTGTGCCTCCTGCATTGCCAGGTGGGTTCTTCACTGCTGAGCTACCAGGAAAGAGCCAACCCAATCACTTCCCCCCAACCCCACTGACTTTAGACTTGGCCACATGACTCACTTTCCCTTTTGGGTTGTGAGTTGACCTGAGGGTATGCTAGTTCTAAGCAGAGCTTTTAAGAGGCTCCATGTGTCTTCACCCACTTCTCTTGAGTTCCTGTCCTTCTGGAAAGTCACAAGTCCTGTGTTGAGCCTGTTCCTTCAGCCTGGGTCCCAGAATGAGAAAAACATGTGAAGCAAACCTGAACCCAGGCAACTGAGACCCACTTGTTGTTGTTAGCCACTGGGTGTTGGGGCTGTTTGCTACATACTATTATCCCAGCAAAAGCTGACTCCATAAGGTTTATTTGAGCTGATCCTCCCCCATCCTGCCCCAAGCATCCTCGAACTCATCACACTGACTAACTCCAATCTCTGGTAGCATCTGTTGTTCTTTTCAAAGCTGAGAGAGCCTCATTCTCTCTTCGCTGTCAGTCATTCATTACAGGTTCCTGTCTTGGAGGGTTTCTGAAGAAATTACTCATCATCCATATAATCCAAACTCTTATCTGTTTTATAACAGAAATATAAAAAGAATGTGATCATACAATACTAGATGCTACATCTTTTGGCTGCTTTTTGATAGTGAGAAGGAAAGCATAGAAAAGCAATAGCAGTTGTGAACTAAATGTTCCATGTCTCTCCTAAATTCACATGGAAATGAATAACCCCTAGTGTGATTATATTAAGAGGCTGGGCCTTTGGGAAGTAATTGGGTTTAACTGAGGTCATGAGGGTGGAGCTCCTGTAATGCGATTAGTGCCCTTTATGATAGGAGACGACAAAGAGTTTGCTTTCTCTGTCTCCTTCTAACGTGTGTATTGAGAAAAGGCCATGTGGGGACACAAGAGGTGGCCCTCACCAAGAACCAAATCTGCTGGCACCTCGACCTTGGCATTTATTACAGCAGCCTGAGTTAAGACCTGCTGAAACCTCCCTGCACCTTGAGGAAGAGCTGTGTCAGCTCTGAGTTATTCATTTTAAGCAGAAGCTTGGACTAGTGATATGGACAACCTAAAACACCAGGAAAACTTAAGGAGGTCTTCATTTGGTCTGGGAAACTCCAAGACTGCCCATGAGTGTTTCAGAAGTACCTTAGACAAAGAAGCATTTCTTCAAAACAAAGCCTGATGAAATCATGTAAACCTCTTGCTTTCATATTAGGATTCAACAAAGATTTTTTATGAAGATATATAATAAAAAAGCATGAAAGCCACTAGTTTAAGATACACTCATGCTTTGCTTTGGCATACACTTTTCAGATAACACAGGGTTCTGAATTGTATGTGTGAGATTGTTTCTCCTTGAGAAGGATAGAAAATTAACATTCCCCTGGTCCCCAGCTGGACCATTCAGGGGTACAGAGTGAGCTCTGCTGAGTGACAGAAGCCCACTAGGGATTAAAACAATAATCCCCAAAGTGGAAAATCAGCTGCGGAAAATCGGGGGTTGATAAATAACCCTCTTCCCCATGCCCTCTCCTCCTCTACTCTCCTACCTTCCCCCAAGCCGCGAGCTCCTGTTTTCCCACCTCTCTCAGAGGTCTGGCGGGCTTCAGCCTCACTTCTCAGTGAACTATCCACGCCAGCCCCAAAGCATAAAGGCTGAGGAACCGGACAGTCCGATGGTCAGGTGCTCTGATTGACACTTGGGGGTGGGACCTGGTACTAACTAGAGTAAAACACAGCCCCGCCCTTAGAAGCCCACAGATAGTAAGACTGAGAGATTCATAAACAAATAACCTTCAGAAAGATCGCGAAAGGAAGAAACAAGTAAGCAAGTGGGGGGCTCCTAGAATGCCGCCCTCTGGAAGGCACACAGGCCCTGCCACCGGGAAATCTGACTTAATCGGTCTGGGTTGTGCATAGAGATCAATAGTGTTCAAAACACTCCCCAGGTGATTCTAACTTTAGCCTGAGCTGAGAACCATCCCAGACCTTTTGAATCAGGAACTTCTGTGGTGAAGTTAAAACCCGCTTTAACAAGCCCCCCACGTGACGCATTCTTCAGTCTGGGAGCCGCGGGTCTGCGCTGCTCGGGAGGGAGAGGCGTGGACGTGGAAGGGGCCAGAAGCTGGGAAGCTGGGGCTGGAGCCCAGGACTGGGGTGGGGATCCTCCCACCGGCCCCCTCCTCCAAGCCTCAGGGCAGTGGACGGGCTCCCTGTTAGAGCCTGGCCTGAGCCCTTCGAGGCGGGTGTCCTTGTGCGGGAATAGCGTGGGGTGGGGTCCAGCTTTGAGACCACGGAGCCTCCCTCCGAAGCCTCAGTCACTGCGCCCCTGGTCGCTGCTCATTTCCCCCCGGAGTCCCTGAGCAGGCAGGAGAGGTCGGGCCCGGGCTAGGCCATAGCGAACGGCCAGACAGGGCTCTTCTGGAGAATCCTGGCTTCCAGTTTATGGCTTCTCATCCTTTTCCCCCAAAGTGGGCCCCCTACTCTGAGCGCTGGCTTTTTTTTTTTCCTCAGACAAAACCCTCCTTTTCTGCACATGCAACAAACATCTCCTTAGCAATCAGGCCCCCACCCACGATCAAAGCAGCCCTTTGGCCCAGAGCACCGAGACCCCACTCCCGACGCCCCTCGGCCCCACCGCTCTCCCATCCCAGCTGACATGAAACAGCACGTCCAGCCGCCTCCCCACTTTGGGCCTCCGCGTCCAGACCAACCGGGCAGGGCAAGCCCCCACGGCGGGGCCCGGCGCGGTCCCCAGCCCAGGGACCCCCGCTGGGGGGCGGTTAGAGGGTGGAGAAGAGGGACCCCCCGGGCCCGGCCGCCACCCAAGGGCAGCCCCTGAGCGCGCCGGGGCAGCTCCTCCGGGTTTCTGGCCGACTTGCCCGGCCCCCCGTGGGGAGGGGCTGCGGCCACTCGGAGTCGCCAGGGGTCCGGAGGCTCCTCCCCGGGGGTGGCCGAGCAGGAAGCGGGGAGCGCGGCGGGCGGGGGCGCGGGCGCGGTGCGGGGCCCGGGGCGGCGGAGTATGCGCGGGCCTCGGCGGCCAGCCCCGGCGCACAGCCGCGGCCGGGGCGCGCGGCGCGGGGCGGAAAAGCCTGTTTACACAGACTGCACACCGCCTGGGGAATAATGCAGTAAAGGAAGTGAGCCGGCTCGGCCTGACTGCTCCAACTTCCTGCTCTCACACACACCAGAGGGAAAAAAAAAAAAGAGGAGCGAGAGAAAGAAAAAAAGGGGGGGAAATCAGGATCTCATTACAAGAGCAACAGACCGTCTGCAGACGCCTGTCAGCATGGAAAGTCGGGGGCTTTCGCCCGGTTCCTCCTAGAAATTCCCCCGAAGAAGGATCTTGAAAGCTCCCCCACATCTGGGTAGGTAGTAGGGTTCGTGCCTGTTGCTCGGACACTTGCAAAGTTTCGTGGGGGTTGGTTTGGGATTTTTTTTCTTTCCTTTCTTCGGTGTGGCTTGGTGGGGGTGGGGCGGGTGGGCACCGGTAGGAGGCTGCAGGCCCGGGGGCTGCGGGGAGGCCGCGGGGAGTGGGCGCCGCGGGATGTTCCTGCGCCTGGGTCCGCGCGCCGGCCCCGGGGGCTGCGGCCACCCGGCGCGGGCACACCCCGCCCTGGGCTGCGCTGCGAGCCCGGAGGAGGGGGCGCGCCGGAGGAGCGGGCGACGGTGAGACTTGGGGTCCCCGGGAGGATCGGTGACTGGAGCGGGCTGCGTGCCTGGAGGCTGGACCACCGCTGACCTTCCAGGGGGGCTGGGACTTCCTCGGGCTTGCAGTGGGTACGGATGCTCGGACTCAGGGAGAACAGGGGTGGGGAGGGAAGGGAAGGGCGTGGGGAGCCGAGCGGCGGGGCTGGGGGCCGCGTCCCCTCTGGCTCGGCAGGTGACCCCCCGCCCGGGTCGCCGCCCCAGGCGCACGCCTAGCTGGACCTTATAAAGCCGGCGGAGTCATTACTGGACACGTTCTGGGAGGAGAACCCAGCAGGCGATGGTCTTGGAGCCCCCAGCAGTTTGGGATGGGGCTCTTCAACTTGCAACTGAATGTTGGCCTGTAATGCTACTGTAACTTTAGGGGGGTAGGAATCACAATTTTGCAGGGTTAAAAGAAAAATCGGAGGTCTGGATTTTTGTTACGTTTTCTGAACCGAATCATCCTGAGGACAAGCTGCAGTTAGGCAGCGGGTGGGGGTGGGAGAAAGAAATGTTATTTCAGAAACTGCAAAAGGGGCTTTTTAGAAGAAAAAAAAAAAAAAAAAAACGAGTGTCGGGAGAGTTTCTGGCTTGTCTGGAAACGGCAAGACTAATTGCCATGCGCTTCCGCTTTGAAACTGGCAGCAGACAGCATCTTGAAAATGACTCACTAGAGGAGCTCACAAAGAAACTGTGGTTTGCTCCTTCTCAGGTTTATATATTTGTGCCTTTTACAGTTTCCTTTGTAGTGTTCGAGGGGTCACCCGCCCCTTCCCCGCCGGCCCCCTCCCACCCTCCCGCTTTTGGAAGCCCTTGGCGGGTCTTTAACTCCCCCAGCGCCCCAGCCGGGAGGTGGGGGACGCCGGGGGAGGCTGAGTTGTTTTTGGAGTTGGCTGGGGAGAGGGTTAAAGGGATTCTGCTGCTGCAGGGGGAAAAAGTTCCCTGAATTTTCCACTGGCTGCTGCAGGAAGAGAGCCCCTTTAGTCATTGCTAAGTAATGTCTGCACACACACCAACTAATCTCATTAGGAGTTTCCGCTGCTCAGCACAGGAGGGGTTTTGTGCAGCCACTGTCAGCCGGGGGAGCCCGGCGCTGGAGACCGAGACAAGTTACGGCTTTATTTACTTAGAGGGGCAAGTCGCCCAACGAACCTTTTCAGGGCAGCATCTTAAACTTTGCAGTCATTTTGGATTTGGGGCTTACAAGGTTTTTCTCTCCTAGCTGTCCGTGTGTGTGCGCGCGCGCGCGCCTGTGTGTGTGTATGTGTGTGTGTGTGTGAAGTTTCTATTACCGAAGCAGCTCAAACACACCCATCCTCTCTCATCTGTGCTTCAGTTGGAGGGGGAGGGGGGATGCGGCGGAGGTGATGAGAAGCCGAGCGTGTTCCAGGCATCTATTAATGAGCTCAAATTGACTTCTGAGTCTTATTGGCAAACAAAATGCCCTCTGATCTCTCTCCCTTCTCTCTCTCTGTGCGACACAGTTTTATTTGGGAAAGGTCAGTTATGAGTTTCAATTTATGGGGATTATAAAACTACAAATTGTGTTAGGAGGGCTCGCCCGTCAGACAGTTAAGAAGACTGTCCCTAAATGTTTTTAGGGTTTCCAGTAATGATCCTGCCTGCAAAAACCCCTGATAGTCATTCTATGCCAAATATAGCCAAGGCCTTCTGGGCTTTTTTTTTTTTTTAAACCTTTCAATGTTGGGAATGTGTAGAGTTACTAAAAAGGGTGAATCATTTTAAGGAACCTGATTGGAACTGTGGGTCTCCTTTATTGACAAGGACATGCTGCTCTCTTGAGGGTTTTTTAAGGTGTCAGTGTTTCTTTTCTGGTGGCAAAGCGTGTCCTGAAAACAGCCCAACCAGCCCCACCAGGGTGTGAGTCAGTGGACATGAGTACAGGATGTCCCCAACACCACACCTGGCACAGAGTAGATGCTCAATAAAGTGCTGCGTTGAAAGCTGTAAGTAGGATAACAGGACTTAACAATAAATAGATAAGGAAAAAAGCTTTCCAAAGGCAGCAGCATTCTGCAGGATCTGTCTTAAGGATGAAGGTTGTAAATATTCTCCTCTGTAGACTACATTTCCTTCAAAACAAAAAGGAGGTGAAGTTATTTATTCCGATAAGTTATTATTTGGAATGCATGATGTTCATTTATATCAGTTCTCAACTAAGAGTAATTTTGCTTCTCAAGGGATATTTGCCAGCATCCAGGGACAGTTTGGTTGTCATAATCAGAGCGGGTACTGCTGGCGTCTACTGAGGAGGGGTTAGGGATGCTGCTGAACATCCAACAATGCCCAGGACAGCCCATCGCAAAGAACTTTCCAGCCCAAAATGTCAGGAGTACCCAGATGGAGAAACTCTTGTTTACGTTAATGATGAAGATGATAACTTTCATATGAATTCATTTAACAAATAGGACATATAAAAATCATCACTGCACTTTTCTGTCATGTTGAATAACAAAGTAGGCATGAATTTTCTCTCCCTTTCTGTTTGGTTAGTAGTATGTGTGGAATGATATGTAAATAATGATAGTGTGATGGTGTACCTTTGTGAGCTGAGTTAGACCCTCTCTGAACCTCACTCACCTGGTACTAATGTCTTCTAGACCAGAATGGCAGTAGCCCAGATGGGGGAGAGCAGTGTTTTTTTTTTCCAGCCCTATTTTAATTTTGATGTTTCCTAAACATTTATGAAAGATTTCTCTTATTAAAAAAAAAAGCTTAATAATTCAAACCTGGTAATACATAATAACTGTAATTGTGAGATCCTATATCGAAATTTATATTTGTAATAACTTTTTAGAACTTGAATCTTTTCCTGAAATCGGTTTTAAAGGGCTTCCAGGCAGTGCATATAAATTAAAATATTCCATTCTTAGCTGTCAGATACTGGATTTTAAGCATCCTGTGCTGCCCAATTATATGTTTATCAGATTCAGAAAACCAATATGGTTGCAAAACATTACCTAAAACCAAACAAACCCAATACACTGGAAAAAAAAAATTATCTAAGGATGTGACTTCCTGGAGTAGAGTTGTTGTTTTTTTTTTTTTTTTTTTTGCTGATGGTGAATTACTGCTTACTAATTAATGCCTCTGCTCCTTTCTAGTCCCAGGGAATGATTCAGCCATCTTTGTGAATTCTAGACCTGGGGTTCCTCATTAAACTTTAAAAGAAACAAGATTCTCTATCCCTTTTGGGTTTGACCTGACTGTGGGTAGACAGCTTCTGCCCCTAAGGGCCAGTACCTGCACATACAGATGAGCAGTTGTGGCCATTTGAATGAAGGGCTCCATTTCTGGCAGATGTTTCTGTATGTTTAAGGCAAGACTTTTTCATGTTTTATTATTTATCTGTAATTCCCCTTTGCCTTCATAGATTGACGTATTTGAGGTCACATTAGTATAGCAATATTTTCTAAAGGTTAGTTTTTTTTCTATTATAAAAATATTAATGTGAATTATCTTAGGAAGAGTGAGAAAACCACAAAGAAAAAATAATAAACATCTCCCATAATCCCTGTTAACACTTCCGTGTATTTTTTTTTCTGATCTTTTAGAATACACACATACCCGCACATGCACACACAATATTTTTAATTGGAGTCACACTATATACTTTCTGTTTTGTAACTTATTTTCAGTTAACATATCATGTAACACAGTTTAATAACTTGTCCTAAGACCAAAATCACCACCCATAGAGCTTGTATCTATTGATCCAATAAATGTGTTGACTCAACAGTGAATTGACATAATTTCTACATAACTTGTTCAGTGTTTTTGCCTGTGTGGCTCCCAAGTCATGTTCTAAGAATGCTGCCCTCATGAAAGACTGAATTCATATGTGCTGTGAAGTTTGGGATTTTGATGAGCTTCTCTGTGATTTACGGATGAGTCATGATTTGCAGAAGAATATCAAGATGTAGTAACAGGAAGTCCAGGGTGCTACACATCAAAATAGAATGCTCAGTGATGAAAACAGAGAAACTAGGTTAGACCAGAAATACACCTTGGCCTTCTCCAACTATAAAGAAGGGAAGAAGCTGCTTCTTGCACATTGGGTGACTCTTGCTCATTAGCGTTTCATTTTATATCAGTAAAGTTTCCGAACTTTGAAGTTGGTATTTTCAGTGAATTTTCAGTCCAAGATTATTACTGCCTGTGACCAATTTGAATTGAGATCATCCAGCTTTTTGGCTGAGACTGTGGCAGTGAGAACGTGAAAATTCTGGTTTTGCCACTTAGGATACAGCCGCAGTAAACCGAATTATCAGTGTGTGTGTATGTGTGTGTGTACTGTTTAATTGATGCACAATTTATAATAATGAGCTAATTTCAGATGTACAACAGTGATTCAATTATGTGTATTCTTTTTAAGATTCTTTTCCCTTATAGGTTACTACAAAATATTGAGTGTAATTCCCTCTGCTGTACAGTAGGTCCTTATTGGTTATCTGTTTTATATATAGTATTGTGTATATGTTAATCCCAACCTGCTAATTCATCTCTGCCAAGTCCTCTTTCCCCTTCAGTAACCATTAGTTTTTATTTTTCTGTGTCTGGGGTACATTGTTAACACATCCTATGGGCCTTCAAAAATGGTAGATCATTCAGTCTTTTATGTAGAAATTTGACTCCTCATCATCCCTACCCACAACCAAAATGAAAATGGTTTTCATCCATTACTGGAAACTCAAATATATGTCAGCAATTTAAAAATAAACTTTGAATTGACCGTTTCAATAAGTTGTAATTTGGTTGACTTGCCACTAGGAATTACTCACAGACCACTTTGTGTGTTTTAATTTACAGTTGCTGGAAAGTTATTATTAAATTAGGAATTAAATGGGATTATTTTATAATTGGATGTGAGATTTATTTGCATATTTTTAAAGAAATTAAGATGATGGTTGTGCTAATAGATTCTGATTTGAATTGGATTAAAATAAATTTATTTATAT